TTGACCTCGCATCCCTACAAAGCCGGGACGGAGCACGCCGGGTTCTGACCGGACCAGGCTCTCACATCACCAATCACGAAGCTCCGTGAGATATTCGGTGAGTCGCATGAAGGATGCGCTACATCTTGCTAAGGGTGTTCGCCATCTTGTGTCTACTTCCTTGCATACGGATAATAGCTGCGTATGACAAAATTTTGTTTCTGACGCTTTCACTTCCAGCGACAGTTGTAAGCACTGTGTAACTGCCCCGAGGATGCGTTTCCATTTTTACCCAACGTGGTGCGATCATCCCCCTTGCGCGGAGTGAGGGTCCTCGACCCCGCACAACATGATCCACTCGAGCACCATCATGGTTACCGCCAACACAAAACAGAGTTGAAAGCAAACAACGGCAACCTGGTTGCCGGGTTCACGATTGAATTGGCGTGTTTGACAACGTCGTTACCGAGCGACGAAAACCCAATCCCGATGGCGAACACCGGGGCGGCGGGGGGAGTGTGCTCATAGTCGTGCATGCTGTAGTCGCTTGACCATTGACGTGTTATCGCTACAAAGCCGGGACGGAGCACGCCGGGTTCTCACCGGGCCAGGCTTTCACATCACCAAGCGCGAAGCGCCGTGAGGTATTCGGCGGGTCGCATGAAGGATGCCCTGCATCCTACTAAGAGTGTTCGGCATCTTGTGCTTACTTTCTTGCGTACGGCTGACAGCTGCGTATGACATAATTTACTTTCTGGTGCTTTCACTTCCAGACACAGTTGTAAGCACTGTGTAACTGCCTCGAGGGTGTTTGACCAGTTAAACACAACGTGGTGCGATCATCCCCCTTGCGCGGAGTGAGGCTTCTCGACCCCGCACAACATAATCCATTCGACCACCACCATGGTTACCGCCAAAACAAAACAGAGGTGAAAATAAACAACGGTAACCTTGTCCCTTCTTCCCCTCGCTCCTCGACAAGCTTGTGCTTTGACATGGGTTGTAGTGAAGGGGGGGGTCTTTCTGGCGAGCAGGGCTAGACTCACCCTCAAGGGATGACCGAAACCTTCTTGCTGCTGCGCATATCCGCCGCGAGGCATGCGCGTGGTGGTGTAGTTGGGTCGGCACTGATGGGGTCAGGCGAAAAAATGTAGATGCGCGGGCCTCTGGCCGTCGGCGTAGGCAGCGATGCCCATCTCATTTTTTGTGCGCGGAGGCAGACACC